ACGATTATCGACTTCAACATCAACGTTTCGTACTTTCAGAACGATGGATATGCCGCCATCCTCAACTGATCGTCGACGATACAGTGGGTATCCGTCTTTGCCAGTAATGGTATCAGAAACCAAGTTTCTTGGGTATCGTTCCATGCATGTCCCATCAGACATGCATGGAGAATTGTTATTGAATGCGCCACATGGACCATGGATCATATTTTTGGTAACGACTTCGAATAAGTCTAGATCAATGGCCTTATATGATATTTCTGCTGAGATGATTTGGTCAATTTTATCTGGCGTAATTTTGTTGATTAACCAAACCAAAATATGTGCATGTGGCAATCCTCTTTTCTGCCATTCAATGGAATACATCCAGCATCGAGTCTCTCCAAAAACGTGATGCTTGTTAATAAAATCCATCAAAGCTTTAAATTTTTGTTTAAATACGCTTGCGGTAATATCATGTTGCCTTCGCGCAATGAGGAGGGGAAATGGGTTTGGGGAAACGTAATGACTGACTAATGACGTGACTGACTGATGACAAACGGACTAGGTCAGGCCAAGGGAACTCCGCGCATTGACAACTGGAGCTAGCGAAGTTCAAGGCTGAGTGCGAGCTGCACTCAGATGGGGTGGGATGGCTCCACCTGACCCGGACAGGCTTTCTATCTTCTATCCTATACCTCCGGCATGAACATGAAATTTTGTTGGTTGTAGCTGTAGGTAAGATATGTGGCAAACAACCCCCCCATAAGCCGTCGAGCTAGCCTGAGGCCAACAAGCATGCCAAACCTGCCACAGACTCTTGCCCCAACAGGCAGCTACACAACAATCATGGCGGTCCGAAGATGATTGTCCAGCTAACAGAAGTTCTTTAATTTCATCCCATTTTGGGTTGCATGTGAATGTGATGAACAAATCTGGACGGCCATATAGGCAAACGTATGTCATCGCATCTTGTGCGTATTCATGCATGTGCCGTGGACTCCCCGTGGATGTAGACGGTAATATGACCATTCTTCCCAATTCGTTTGGATTCACGTTACCATCATTAACGATTGCGTCTCGTAAATGGATGTACTCTTCAGAACGCAACTCGGTTTGATTCAATCGAATGTATAGGAGTCCTTCGGTTTCAATCTTCGCGTACATATCGACGATGTATTGATGGAACAATTGTCGACATTTCAGAATGTGGTTTTCAGCGTCTTGACGAATCATCAATCGATACGAATAATAATTCATGGCACTGACTTTCTTATTCGTTTCCTCGTCTGTTGGTGCATTTTTCATTTTGATGTTGAAATGATATCCATCTTCTCCTCGCCAAAACAGAATCGGATACTGCAATCCGTCNGTCGTTCGGTTTCAATCTTCGCGTACATATCGACGATGTATTGATGGAACAATTGTCGACATTTCAGAATGTGGTTTTCAGCGTCTTGACGAATCATCAATCGATACGAATAATAATTCATGGCACTGACTTTCTTATTCGTTTCCTCGTCTGTTGGTGCATTTTTCATTTTGATGCTGAAAGGATATCCATCTTCTCCTCGCCAAAACAGAATCGGATACTGCAATCCGTCGTATGAGCGATGAGTTTCGGATGCTCGCTGAACGTCACCATTTCTACGATGAAGAATTATGTCGTGCGATTTGAATTCTTCGCCAATTATCACGATCGCCACTTCATTGATTGTTGGTGCATTGAACTGCCTTTCGTGTTGGGCAGCGGGTCTTTTGTCTGCTCGAATTACAACTGCGTAGTCATCGGCTGGCATTCGTTGAATGGCGGTTTTAAACAACTGAACTAATTCATTGTGTTGTTCATCACTGTTGGCCATGAAATAAATTTGAAGAAACATGTGATCTGCGTCCGGCAATGGTAGAAGCGATCCGACACGATGATAAATTTGCCCTTGGACTCTGAATGTTGGCATGTAATTTTCGCGCACGATGTTCGTTGCACCGAACGATGTCATTTGAAAACATGAATTGTATTTGCGGATGTTTTCCAACAAATGCTTTGACTCACGTGTAGCACCTGATAGCAACGTTGATAGTGGTTCGGGTGGTGGAGGTAATTCTGGCAGTTTAACTTTTCCACTGGCGCAGCACATTCGTGGCGTTTCGCTCTTAAATTTGAGGGCGCTACAATACATGCAAATTTTATCCATTTTTCCAATGTTGACACTTGGATGAAGACTGTAATTATTATTACTGTCATAATGGAATGCCCAAAGATTTAAATCAGCGTGCAGTGTTCGTCTTGATCGAGCGGTGCTTATTCGAACATTTTGCAGCCTTCTTTCCCGATGTTCAGTTGTCTCAGACGAACGGGCCTGAGTAGTACGTATTCGATCAGTTTCTAACCTCACTTCTTGTTGTTCAGATGATTCAGACGAACGGGTCTCAGCGGCATGTACTCGAAGATTTTCTAGCCTTAATGCTCGTTGTTCGTCTGATTCTGAGGCTCGTAATGCTCTTTTCTTCCGTGCTTGAGGTGTAGATCGGCCAATTGCTTGTCGCTTTGGAGGCATAATTGTACGGGAACGACGTGAAAAATGCGTTTGAATTTATAAGATGTCACTCAGCAAAACTTTATTGCACAAATAAATTGCCACAATATTGAACAAATTTCAATTGTATTTTAACCACAGCCTTTATAGTAATTTTATCAGTTATTATATTTTGCTGTACTTAGCACTGCAGAGTGCACATGCTTACTGCGGAACTGTTTAAATTTTTAATATTCTTAAAATAGGCCCAAAATACATTGTATATTCCGATCTCAGTAAATAAACCCTAACTAACATACCTACCTAGGAAACATTTAACCTTAGCCTTAACCAACATCTATCTTTATATACATGAATAGATACGCTCTAACGATCTACTTATGTACCTGCGTGTTTAATAAAATGCATTATACTGGAGAACCCTGTTTACCTACTTTCTTACGCAAAAAGTTTAAAAGAGCCCAAACCCTGTAGGGAAAACACGAACTAGTGAACCAGATTTCTAGTTCAGTACTAATTCTTTTCAGCCAAAAACGAACCAGCCCAGTAATAACTAGTTCCGCACCAGTCCAAAAGCAGTGAAATGTGGTACTTTCACTAAACTATTTTATTTCAAATTTTAAACGCAGGGAAGGTAATCATTATGAGAAAAATAATTTAAATAAGCATTTAACCATTAGTTTATGAATTATTATTGAGTTTTATTTTTTCGCTCAAACGGAAATAATTATTATTTGATTTTTATTTTTGGGATTACAAATAATGATTATTTTATGATTTTTATTTTTTCGCGCAGATATTATCACTAATTTTGAGTTTTATTTTTCCACTTAAAAATAACGATAATTTATAAAATTGAAAGGCCATACAGATGCAACCTACTGAAATTTTGACCTGAAAAGTTTGGGTCTTATTCCTTTTATAAGGGTGCGGCTACCTCTCAAAAGGATACGTCGGTAATCACGCTGGTATAGTTTTTGAGTTGCTTAATAATCATTATACTTAGTGATTCCATAAACAAAGGCCAAGATCCTTAAGGACAATTGAGAAAGGCAATTCAGTTGCAGAAAAAGAGGCATTTAAAAAAAAAAGTGTCATAATAATTACCACTTTCTCACTAAATTTATTTAAAAATGCAAGCCACCAGAGCTACCTTTTTTTTTAAGAAAAAGACAAATTAATTTTTTTTTATGCAATCCAGCACAGCTACCTTAATACAGTCAGTCAATAAAGTTTCAGTACAACGATTTTTTTACAATACAGGCAACTATTTTTTAAATATTTTAGTTTTCGGTAATTTTTTATAAAAATGTGGTCAACTCTACAACAAAATCCCCAAAAATCAGAGTTCTAAACCTTGTGCATAATTTCATTAAAATAATTCACTTTCTATTTACGCTCTCTAGAAAAAAGTTGAGTTTGCAGTTTTTTAGCCCATTCAATTTTAGTATAATGAAGTGCAAGTATGAGCAAGCTAGGACTTACCAAACAACAAAAAAAAAATTGCTAAATATCAATGGTAAGTCCTAGCTACCTCAAACTTGCACTTTGTTGTACTAAAATTGAATGGGCTAAAAAACTGCGTACTTAACTTTTTTCTAAAGAGTGTAAATTGCAAATATTTGGATGGAAATTTGCAGAGTTTTCTTTAAGTTTGCATAAGGTTTGGGACTCTGATTTTTGGGGTTTTTGGTGTAGAATTAACCATATTTTTATAAAAAATTAGGGAAATATAAAATATTTAAAAAATAGTTGCCGGTGTTGTAAAAACTTCGCTGTACCTATGTAAACTTTATTGACTGACTGTATGTCTTATTTAAGTTAAGTACGACAAAAACTTTCGAAGTACTTCATATACATATAAGCTTAAAAATAACTGAATTTACTAAAAAAATAAATATGCTTAAATTTAGACAAGAAAGACAAAGTGAACTAATATTTTTACTTTTAAGCAGAACGCACTTTTGTTTTTTACTTACTACTTAAGTTTACTACTACTACTACTACTAATGTGGTTTATAAATTTTTAATAAATGCGTTTAAACATTTGTGATGGTATTGCCCTTCCTTCAACCGATCGTATTTAATATAAAAGGGAAATGTGTCGACAAGCCTGATTAGAAATGTAGATCTAAGGTGACGAATTTTTAACAGGTTGGGAACTATAAAAAATGGATGCAGATCGAACTAGATCTCATCTGTCGAATTAGGAACTGGTTCGGAACTATAGAACAAGGGATGCAAAACGAACTAGATCTTATCTGTCGAATTTAGAACTGGTTCGGAACCAGAGCCAAAGGGGTGCAATGGGGGACAATTGACACTTCCTAGGACATCGCAATGTTAAATTCGCCAGTCGCTAGCATGCAAAAGAAAATTAACGCGTACTAGTCATGGTTCCAAACGCACTAGAACCGAACCAGTTCCGCACTATTTCGTTTCACTACAGGGAATACATACATATGTATGTGTTACAGCTCTGTACCTGCGTCCTTAAGAAAATGCATTATGCTGGAAAACAATTTATACTTTCTTTCTGTGGAAAAAATTTTAAAGAGTCCAATATTTCTTGCTTCCGAAATTTGTTTTACATACTAAACATCATTCCAGGAATTATTAAAATTTTTTGGAATGTTGAAGTTTCTGGCTCTCTGTGAAAAATGTAGGTCGCTATACACTGTAGTAGTTGATTTATCTATTTTCACTTCAGTTTATACAACGTATTTATATACCTGCCCCTAGATAAATGTCTTGAATTTGAATCAAATCGGCCTGGAAATTCGGATTTTAGAAATATATCGACTCCAGCGCCACCTATCGAACCTATTTTCACACAATATATATATATGTTTAGGTGTTTGATAAATGTTTCGAATTTTAATCAAATCGGTATGTAAATACGGATTTTAGAAATATCTCGACTGCAGTGCAACGTATCGACATTAGTTTTGTTCTATAACACTTCCAGTGATTATATGCACCTACCGTAAAAATTGCATTAAAATCGGTTGGGTACTTTTGACGCCTATAAAGGACATACAGACAAACATTCATTTTTATATATGTAGATTAAAATTTTACCAAAATTGGAAAATACAAAGGTTCACAAGCACGAAATGGCAATACTGTTCAACAATATTTGTATATTTGTCACTGGCATTTATCATGAAGTGGCAAATCAGATATTTGGTCGTTTGCGTAATTTTTATTTGGCTTATGTAGCAGCATTGCGTTCACACGATTTGGCCACCAGGGTTGTTTTTCATTTGCCACAAGAAGGCAAATATTTGGCTTTTCTGATAAATGACAAATGCAATTTAGCGCTCACATGATATGTCTATGAATTTGAAAAAAATTTACAAATCGTGTGATCCCAGCTTTACCATTGCAAAAGCTAAGCGAACTGGAAACAGTCCTGTAAATTCGAAAGGCATATCAGAAAGAATTTAAGGGGCCATGTAAATTCTGGTTCCGAAGTTATGGTTGATACAAAATTCGACGGCTGTGTTATGCGCTACGCCCACTTTTACAAACTCTTCTATATAAACATACCTTACTATAAGCACCCATGTACCATAGATATGTCTGCATATCAAATTTCAAGTTCATGTGACTTATCGTTCAGAAGTTATGGCTGATTAAAAACTCCACACCTATGAGATGTGCCACACCCCCTTTTACAAACTCATTTATGTATACCTTACTAAAAGCACCTATGTACCATAGATATGTCTGCATACCAAGTTTCACGTTTATGTGACTTATGGTTCCGAAGTTATAGCTGATAAAATTGTCCACGCCTTTGGGCCCATTTACAGACTCATTTATATATATACCTTACTAAAAGCACCTACTTTAGATATGTCTGCATACCAAATTTCAATTTCATGTGACTTACGGTTCCGAAGTCATAGCTGATTAAATATTTCACGCCTACGGAAGGTGCAACGTCCCCTTTTCCAATTCCGCCCATTTTTTCCCACGAGTATGGAATTAATTTCATTTATCTCGAAACCAAGTTCCAGTACTCTACCGCAAATATTTTAAGAGATATACAACATGAAAATTTTAGTTAGTAAGGGAGGTGCCACGCCCGGTTTACGCGAGTTCGAAATCGTATGCTTTTGACAAACAGCCGTATTCCAGTCGCTTATTCAGATCCGGATCTATCACGATCAATTCTCACGGATAAGATAATATGCAAAAAACCGTACTTAAATTGCTAAAAGAAATTTTAAACAAAAAATTCAATACAAAACCTTGAATTGTTTTAACCCTAGCCGAAAATTTGTTTGTGTATATATTTATTTGTCGGTGCTGTCAATTAAAATTTTCTCCATTAATTAGGAAGCAAAACAAACAGAGTTGATCACATATTGATCCAGATTTCTATCAGCATCACATCGATATTGATTTTGCGTAACTTTTCTTTATCCAAATAACGTAAAATAATAAATGAAATCTTGATCCGCGATCACTGAAACGCAGCTAGCAACTGTATACGCGAAAAAGCAATGTTCCCACTTTTCTCATTAAACCATGTTCGAATCGTGGAAATTTTTGAAGATCACAGGGTTGCCTTTAGCATTTAGATTCTTAATGCAGAAATGGAGTTGCATTTAGGTGACTAATTTTTTATGGATAAATGTACATTTAGAGTAGCATTTAGAGCTAAATACTATAAATGGGCTTTTACGCGTAAGCAATAACAGCCTGTTAGACATGCGCAGATGCGAATGAGAAATTNATAAATGTGCTTTTACGCGTAAGCAATAACAGCCTGTTAGACATGCGCAGATGCGAATGAGAAATTCCACATTCGCAACATCCCTAGTACATACATACATATTTACGTATGTTAACCTAGCCAATACACGTTTGTGTGTTTATGTGCCGACGTAGAGTCTACTTGTGTAAATATANCGATATTGATTTTGCGTAACTTTTCTTTATCCAAATAACGTAAAATAATAAATGAAATCTTGATCCGCGATCACTGAAACGCAGCTAGCAACTGTATA